AGGCACTTAATAGTGAGATGGAGAGAATGAATATATAGGCATGGGAACAAACTAGGATCAGGAAAGCAAAAAGCAATGAAAATCTCTCTCTCTTCTGCTGCTCATTGTCAGAAACACATTTTTTCTGCTACTGTTTATAAACAAGATGCCAATTTTTTTCCACCAAGGCATTCCTCTTCTCATTGTCGCCCCACTCACTCCGATAAGAAAAATCCTTTAGCATACTTTCACTGGCTTATCTTCTCTGCTTTATCCCTCCAGATGAGAAGTTTGGAATGCTTCTATTTCCCAATCTCCTCTCCACCCCAATCCCACCCTTCCACCATCCCCTTCTAGGTTTTGTGGACATAGTTGAATACTTTTAATTCTAAATTTATTAGGCTTTCATTTCAGTGTATCCTTTTATTTCAAGGGTCCTTATTTAACACTTTAGAAATTCTCAGGTTATCATCATCTATTTAGATTTATATATACACACATATAAATATACAGATATAGATATAGTTACATAGACTGTATGTGTGTGTGTGTGTATGTGCTGTATTAAAATGCACCTCAAGTTTTTCTGTTCATCTCCCCAGCAGCTCTGTTTCACTGCATACTTGTATTCTTTGATCTTTTTCTTTCAGGTTGGTATTCTAATGGATCTTTTTTCTTTGTGGACTCATGGGGACTTGGGGACAGATTTTGGAATGCCAGTGGTCCCATAGATAGAAAGCAAAGCGTCCCCTGCCTAACTCCCCAGGGGATTGTGCAACAGGGAGGCAGACAAAGCCTGTCTAAGCTACAGAGAGAACCTTCCTAGTCCTCTTTCTAGTCACACTTTCCTATCCTCCTTGTATTACTTTTGGAACTTGCCCATACTTTATTACATATAAAGCCATCTAATTACAACGTATTTGGACTATGTGGCTTTCATCAGATTGTAAGTTTCTGGAGGGTAGTAATTCTGTTTTTACTTTTTTATCCCTCATGACAATGCTCAGCACACAAAAGAGAGTCAATATTTGCTAAGCTGGGCTTAACTGAAAGTGTAAGTTAGAAAATTTCGCTTGGGATATTAATAGTACCCCTAGAAATGATTATACATTTTAATATCATCTTACTGTATACTGTGCATTCTCTTATTTCTGTGCAACATTCTAGGAAATCTAAGTAATTTTCACCATAAGTTAAGCATATAAGGAGTCTCATTTATTATTCCACTTAGTATTATTAACAAAGTACATATGTTAGTTTGTGCTAAAATCTTTGAATTTTCCATATGGAGAAGTCATTTCTATTTCCTTATAGAAATGGCAGCAAAGGCAGTGCCATCTGGGATAACATTCATAGTCAAATCCAAATAAATTTGATTATATCATTTTGAAGGAATCTAAGTTTCATATTCTTGAGTCATCTATTTTTGTAGTCTCAAATTTATAACACATACAGAGGTAGATTATTTAGTAATGACAAAATAATTACTTTTTTTTTTTTTAGACAAGAGTCTCACTCTGTTGCCCAGGCTAGAGTGCCGTGGGGTCAGCCTAGCTCACAGCAACCTCAAACTCCTGGGCTCAAGCAATCCTGTTGCCTCAGCCTCCTGAGTAGCTGAGACTATGGGCATGTGCCACCATGCCTGGCTATTTTTTTATGTACATATATATTTTTAGTTGTCTGGCTAATTCCTTTTTATTTTTAATAGAGACGGGGTCTCACTCTTGTTCAGGCTGGTCTCAAGCTCCTGAGCTCAAACAATCCACCCACCTCGGCCTCCCAGAGTGCTGGGATTATAGGTGTGAGCCACGGTGCCCAGCCAAGAATTACTTTTAATTGTTATCACAAAGAGCTAAATTTAGTTTTTAAAAAACTTAAGAGCTATATAAAAACGAAGTTTACAATTCTATTTGTATAGTTAGGGCATACCAAAAATTGACTGCTTATAGATCTTATCTCCCAATAGTTTTATTTTTCATTTCTGTCACCTCTCTCAAACCATTAAAATTTAAGAGAAACAGAATATGGTCATGGAAATTTAGCTTTCCATAAATGAATACAATTTTTATTATGTTAATTTTTGTCCCTTTTAAAGTTTGGTTTATGATGGGAAAGACTTATAAAATTAACCCCCATGTAACTGCTTCTGCATTTCTTTTAAAAATTTCTTCTGCATTCCATAAGCTATTGGTGTATTTTTTTTATTGAGGTGAAATTCATGTAACATAAAATTAACCTTTTTAACATGAACAATTCAGTGACACTCAGTACATTTACAATGTTGTGCAACTATCAACTCTAACTACTTCCAAAACATTTTTGTTATGCCCCAAGAAAACCCGTGTTTACATTAAGCAATTACTCTCTACCCCCCCATCCCATTCCTAGTAATTCCTTCTGTTTCTATAGATTTACTTATTCTAGATATTTCATATAAATGGAATCATATAATATATTGCCTTTTGTGTCTGGCTTCTTTCACTTAGACTTATGTTTTTAAAGTCCCTCCACTTCGTAGCATGTATCTATACTTCATTCCCTTTTATGACTTAACATTCCCTTTTATGACTTAACATTCCCTTTTATGACTTAATACATATTAATACTTCATATGTATTAATATACACCACAGTTTGTTTATCTATCCTTTGGTGGACATTTGGGTTGTGTTCACTTTTTGGCTATTGTGAATAGTGCTGCTAGGACCACTCATATACAAGTATTTTTTGAGTGCCTGTTTTCAATGTGTTGGTATATTTGGACAAAGATACAAGAGTAAGTTTTCTGAATTTTGGAAAGTTGTTTTCAAATGTGAATGAATATTATAGATAATTAATTTTGTTATCTTGGGATGTATCTAAAGAATACAAATTTCAAAGCTTTCAGCACTTTTTTTTCCTGCTGAATCTGACCACTTGTGTTCCTGACAAAAAGTGCAATGGCTATGGGTAACTCAATTCAATTGTTCATATGTGTTGAAGCAATCTTATGAACTCAATTTCTATTATATGTCAGGTACTGAATTCAGTTGGTAGCACAGAAATAAATTTCACTTTCAGGAAACTTACAGATGTTGGGAGAGATACTCAATTTATATACTACAAAAACTCATTGAGATGCCAGACCAGAGAGCTTGTTCAGGATGCTACGTAGCAGAAAGGATGAGTATTGAGCCAATCCAGGCAGGCTCAGACTTCCGAGAAGTGAAATCTGAACTCTTTTCAAATATTATGAAGGTGAAGTACAAGTTTCCTGAACCAATTCTTTCATCTTACTTCCTAGAGATTGATAATATACCCTTCTTGAATATTTTTATGTGTAAAAAAGCATACATTTAGGTTGGATATACACATGGACAAATATATCTGTAGGAATGTATTAAGAAATCTTGAGATGGAATCAAACTATATATAATGTTTTGTGAAATGCTTTTTATACTTAATTATTGTGATTTCATTTCTCAGACATACTGATGAGCTAAATCTGAAGATATATGAGTTATCTGGTGAAGAAAAGTGTGAAGGTTATTTTATGCGAGGAATAGCAGCGTAGGTATAGCATAGAGAGGAGAGAAAGCATGGCATATCCCATACCTCGAGCTAGTTGTCTTTCTGAAAGAAAGAGGAGAGCTGATACTAATATCTAAACTTGATAGGGTTGAAAGTAGAGAAGACTGATGGGTCTAGATAATCCATGCTAGATTTGAATGAATTTTACAATGATTAATCTCTACCCCTTAAGCCTTTGCATTTTTCTTTTTTTACTTCTTATATTAATATTTCCCTTTTATCTTCTTAGTGAAGCCCCATTTAAAACAGATTGTATATTATCCCCAGAAAAACACCTATTTCATCTCGTTTGTTTCCATGCTCAGGTATGGCCCTAAATTGCATGTGATCAGCCCAAACTTTTAGTCTGCTTCAGCATTGATTGTGCAGTGATTATAGCCAAAACATTGTAATGGAGTGATGGTGATAAACAAACATATGAGAAAAAAAAATCCATGTCTTAATGGGATCATAGTGTAATGGAAGATGTATAGATATGGGTAGATTAATATAGATATTGTATAGATGATTTAGAACTATACATCGTGACCCTCCACCACCAGACTGTAGAGCTCAAAAAGGCTTCCTGGAATCAATGAATACAAATTATTTACAATAAGAAGTGTGAACAGAACATTTCAGGGAAAGGATCAAGCAAAATAAAGTCTGTCCAGTTTAGAAAAATGCACACAGCTGCATCTTTTGGGAACATAATATGGCACATTGTGTTGGATGGCACAGAAGTGAGGAAGCAGGGATCCTGTGTGTCGTGTTAAAGAGCTTACACTTAATCTTTTGCTGGATAAGAGGCCACTGAATAATATTTAAGGGACACAGAAATGGTTAGAGAGTGTGGGTTTGAGGAGAGCAAGATTACAGTTGGGAAGACCAGTTAACAAGCCATTACAATACTCTAGTTGAAAGATTGTGGGGTATGAACAAGAGCAGTGGATGTGAAAGGGATACAGAGAAAGAGATGCAATTGATAAATGTTTTAGGATTAAATGCAGCAAATGACCTCCGACCCTACCGTGCTCACTTTTATCCATGTGAAATCTTAATTAGTAACAAAATATAGGAAAAATAAAGAAAGAATGGTAATAAACAGCCTGAAGGTGTATTCTACCTTATAGTCAGATCCAGCCCTGCCTATGCTGACTTTGTTTGTGTCTGGGTCACTTTTGGCATTGGCTGTTAAAATCACCACTGTCAACCCTCTTACCTCTCTGACTTCTTAATTATTAGTGCTACTTCCCAATAGTGGCTTTGGATCCTTCAAACTACGAGACAGAACAATTACTCTCCTGCATCGTTCTGGAGATACAGTCCTGACATTTGGCTTGATGTTCCCATAATCTGAAATGAATTCTTGTGTACTCTTGTTCTCCGCAGTTGAACATGTGCTATCTCCATTGTGCACCCTCCTTTCTTATTTTCCTAATTAGTAGATTGTCCCCACAGACCCAGGATCTGTTAGGGACTTCTTTCTTGAATGCTGTTTTATTTTGGTGGTATTTAAATCAGTTCAGTGTACCGTGTTCCTTTGTTAGATTATCTCATCTAGTTAGTTTTGAAGCCCAAACTATAACTGAGGTAGGAGTCATGTACATTTTATGGATTATGAAACAGAAGACTAGAGAAATTTAGTAATTTGCCCACAGTTACACAACTGAGGAGTGGGGAATTGAATGCAAAGCCCATGACTCCAGAGCTCACAACTCTTCTTTGCACCATGTGGTCCTGCCTTTTAAGTGTCAGGAAGGAAAGAAAGCTTCAGAAAGATAAAAGTACATGTCCTAATTGGAGTGGCAATCAAATCTGACAGGAATGTGTGGAAGTTGAGGGAAAGTACCAGGAAATAAGGTTGTGACTGTGTGCTAGGCCTGCATATTGTGAAGGATCTTGACTACCAGGGTGAAAAGGTTTATTTGATAGGCAGTGAAGAGCCCTTGATGTTTAGAGCCACAGAGTGAGTTTAGAGCTGCAGAGTGAGTTTAGAGCAGTGGATGAGGAGGAATAATTTGGTAGCAGTGCCCAGGATGGTGTGCCCAGGATGCCCATATTACTTTCCCCTCTGCTAAGGAGCTCCAGTTAAAGCTAATACAGGCTTACATGCAGTGCAGGAAATGAGAATCCGAGGGGAGAGAGGATGCAAGAAACATATGTTTTGGAGACAGGATCTATTAATAAATGACTAGATGACTTGTCAGAACTTAAGAGGAGAGAAGAAAGTAGAGCTAAAAGTGACTTAGCTGTTATGAATATGAAAGTATTAAAAAAATGGAATTCCCATTACCTCCAAACCAAAGAAAGATCTCTTTTGGGGGAGGAAGTTGTTAAATTGCTTTAGGATATGCTCAATGTATGGTTCAGATAGGTGATTTAGGGAATAACAGGCAAGAAACCGCTCAGAATGCAAGTCTAAAGCTGCAAAAGGTGTCCTAGGACAGAAAAGTAGATTTAGAGTCATCTGTATGGAAATGATGATCAAAACTGGGAAGTGAAGTAAGACCTTTGAGGGAAGAAAGGTAGGTAGAAGACAGGAGCCTGGGAAATAATGACAGTTAGGAGGCAGTTGATTATTAAGCATTCCCAAATGCAATAGACACACCGTATCTGAATAATGAATCTTCACCAATTAATAGATTCTGCAAAGGCAACTATTTTCTTTTATACTTGTGCATGTCAGCCACTTGCTAATATTATAAACTTCAGAGCATGTGTGTTCCAATTGGTGTCTCTACTTTATTACTTAGTCATCTTCTGAGCGTCATCTTTGCTATCTTCTTTAATAATAATTGGTGGGGTGTCAAGAATAAAAGTGAATCCCTTTGAAAGTACAGTATATTTAATATATATTGAATATTGAAGTTCATCAGAGATGACTAGACATATAGTTTATATCTCCTGACTTCAAAGCATCTTCAATTCGTTTCAGCTTCTTGTTAGATTAAAGGCTTGCTTTTTTCCTTTTAACTTACTGACAGTGATGAACAAAGGAAGGGATATTAGGGTATCATGATAAAAATGTTATAACAATAGTAAAAATATAGCTTAAATAACATTTTCTGTTTCCCCTTTTTTATTTTTTATTTCAGCATATTACAGGGGTACAGATGTTTAGGTTACATATATTGCCTCTGACCCACCCAAGTCAGAGCATCAAGCATGTCCATCCCCCAGATGGTGTACACTGCACCCATTAGGTGTGTGTATACCCATCCTCTCCTCCCCTCTTCCACCTGCCCATCACCCGATGAATGTTACTACTATATGTGTACATAAGTGTTGATCAGTTAATACCAATTTGATGGTCAGTACATATAGTGCTTGTTTTTCCATTCTTGTGGTACTTCACTTAGTAGAATGGGCTCCAGCTCTATCCCCAAGCAGGAGGATGGCTGGGCAGGAGTTCAAGGTTATGGTGAGCTATGATCACATCACTGTACTACGACTTGGGCAACAGAGTGAGGCCCTGTCCTAAAATAATAATATTAATAAATAGTAAACATGAATTTTGGTTATATTTTTTCAACTTGTTCTTTTTCTACAGGTCTCTGTGTTTGATCTGAAAGAGTATATTTAAGTGTCCAGTATAAATGTATTTTAATTAAATTCTCCTTTCATTGTTAATATTTTTGGTCTTGTTGGTTAGTACTTGTGTTGACTGGTACATGTATACAGTGTGTCCTTTATAATGATATGATTTACCTTTATCCAGTTTTATGCTTTTAACCTTAGTTCTGTATTGTTGATATTAATATACAATTACTCTTTTCTTTTGCTTGCATTTCCTGTATTTTCTTGTTTTTTTTTTTTATTTTTAGTTTTCTATACTTTGTTTAAGTAATTCTTTCTTTCTTCTTCTTTCTTTCTTTCTTTTTTTCTTTTTTCTTTCTTTCTTTCTTTCTTCTCTCTTCTCTCTTTCTCCTCTTTCTTCTTTCTCATCCATCCATTGACTGCTTTTAAATGACTCTACTTATTAATGGCCAGTTGGACTTGAGTAATGGACTGATATATTTTATTTTTCCCATAATTTTCTCTTATTTTACTTGCTATTTGAAATTTATTCCTTTTTCCCGGTTTGTCCCATGCTCTATATTCCATTCTCTCCATTTACTTTAAGGGCCTCTTCTGCTGCTCATTGTTCAGAACACATTTTTTCTGCTACTGTTTATAACAAGTTGCCAATTTTTTCACCAAGGCTTCCTCTTCTTTGTCGCCCAC